TTTTCTGTGCCACCAGAGCCAGCCTCCAGGAAGGAAGACCCCTCATTCTGACCCCTCATTGACTTGGAGTTAGAGTAGTCAACTGCCAGCTGTTTCTGTTCCTGGATTCCCTTGGCGATACCATCCAGTAAATTCAAATGACTTCTTTTTCTCTGGCATCTTCACTTGCTGGTTAAACATGAGGGACTAAGAAATAGGCTCTGCATCAGTGTGCGATGAAGGAGACTCTCCAGCATCTGTAGGCTTTGTCTATAATGATCATTCAGTTCATTATTTTTGAAAACGTTTGCCTAGAATTTTTAAGAAAAGAGAGTTGAGTAGAATGGGTATGGAAAAACCATGGTATAACTGTGTCGCAAGGGCTTCTTGACTCAGGTTAGTTGTGGGACTTTGGATGTAAAGTTCCAGGTGGAACAGGTCTGTTTCTCAGAGGGTAGAGTTATTAAAAAAAAAAATGATGGAGCAGCCTGGGCTTATGACGGGGCTCTGGAAACCCTCTCTCTGATCAATTCTGTTCAGAGTGTGTTTGAAAGTGCTTTTCCCTGACAAGTACAGTTTGCTTTCATGGGTGGTTGAATCTTAATGCTTAGATATTTCTCTGCTTTTAAAAAGAGGTAAGAAACGTCATGAAGAAATCTCATTTTAGTGATGTATAGGATTATCCTTCGAAAGCATATGAAGATTGTGATCTGGAATACTGGCGTATTCAATATATTTTCTTTTATATGTTGATTATGGAGAGATTCTGTCCATCTATTCAGAAGTTCAAGGTATAGTATAAGTTGAGTACAGTATCTATTTCAACCCATTATGAAGATTCTATTTTGTTTTGGGCTTGCTCAGCACTGGATGTAGATAGGAGATGATAAATCTCTGTCTCCTGAGATTCCTTAATGCTTGGTGTGCTTATCAAGATCAGGGGATGACTGTTTTCCTGCCAAATCTATTCTCTCCTAGCTGGGAGTTTATAAAGTCACATTTTGAAAATGTATATGCTAGGCAATAACTATTTGTTGGAACATTCTGGGCATTGTCTCACTTTGCCCCTTGGCCTGAGATAACTGGAGGTCCCTTTTCTTCACTTTAGATCTTTATTAATGTCATCTTCTCAATGACCCTCATCCCAGGGCACCCTAGCCTTCTGTTCATCCTTATCTAATTATTGGCTCTTTTTATCTCCTTGAACTAAAATGCAAGTGCCATGGGGGCTGGGATTTTTGTCTGCTTGGTTCGTGCTGTATCCTTAGAGATTAGTATAGTGCCTGGCACACAAACAGGATTTTATTAGTTGAACGACAGTGATTAATTGAATTGATAAAATTGTACATATGTCACTTTTATTTGGGCATAATTCGTCTGTTTGCAAATACTCTAGACCCCAATTTTAATTGTGTCAAGGGACATAGACTTTAAGATTGAGCATCTATGAGTCAATGAATATATGGGGACGTGACACAGGAAGGGCCCGCAGGCCTGCAGTGAGAAGCGCAGGGGGTCACCACGGTCAGGAGTCTCTTCTCAGTTCTGTGAGCCAGTTTCACTGTTGTCCCTGCAGGTGGAGCCATGCGGAGCGGACCAGGTGCCTCAAGGATACCCTGTTACCAGCCCCACACCCCCGAGCTCAGTGCCAGACTTTTCTGACTCTCTTTGACCCCTGTTTTTACTTTGATCATACGGCCATGGTCATTTGTGATAGGAAGTTTGAAAGTGGGACCTGTATTCTTTGGCTGTTGACCTCTGTTTTGAAAAGCCAAATCCTGCACGTTCCTTGAGTTCACCTACTGGTTGAGTTTGTGTAACTAATTTCATGTTTTATTCCTCTAAGCACGCAGATATCTGTCTAAGCCTGATTACTATGATACTTGACTTTTTCTACCTTTTAATTATATCTTAGTGGGTTTGGGTAGGAATCAGGCTCTTAGGAACATCTGGAATGTTTTTTGAGGTTGAATCTACCATTTTAAGGGTCACCAAAGGAACCTTCTGATTGTGATGTCCCTTTTGTTTAATCTTAACAATTTTAGCCAGCCTGAAATTTCTAGTCATCTTTTTGGATTGTGGCATAATTCCTGGAAGGTCTCTTTAGAATGAAAGTATGTTACCTTGGTGAGTAACACATTAACCTGGGAGTACTCATTGGCGTGGATTCATTATGGAATTGCTAGTGAAGAGGCAGATAGATCCCTGAGAGGATGGCCACCAGAATGATGGAGATGGGAAGATAGTGTTGGAGCCTGGGAACTGGGGCATTGACTGGAGATGGCAGACGTAGTAAATGATGCTGGAAGATGCCATGACTCTGAAGAAACTTGATATATGGGAAGAAGGGGATTCAGGAAATAAGAGAACATGAAAACAGAGGGATGTGGGCACCAAAAAAAAAAAAAAAACCTCTTGAAGATTTGTGTTGGGATCTTCTACAGCCTGACCTGCAAGTTTATACATGCTTTTTTCTCTTTAAATGAAGGATGAATAAATCCTAATCGTAGAAGATTCCCCAGTTGTGAGAATTGGCTCATCATGTTTGGGCTCACAATTTTATTTAGCTCCTTTCTCTTTCTAATTAATAATTGGTTTGGGCTTAGAAATGCATTGACTCCCAAGTCTTCTTATTTTCCCCCATGTCTTCTTTGTTGCAAGTTGAGTGTTGAATGCAGAGCTGTGCTGAGGAATTACTGAACCTAAACAAGGAGGCAGATAGATCAGCTTTGGAGTAATTTTAATGCTTTACTTTTATGAAGCCTTGCTCTATTTAATAGGCATATTTAACATTCTCTTTGCCCCCTCAATCCCCATGCCTGCTCATTTTGTAGATACTGAAGTCATTATGACATTATGGTGTGATCAGTGCAGGGCAGAAGAAACAGAGCTCTTTGTACCGGGTCATGGGCTCTGGGAACAATCCTAGTCCTCTAACAGCCTCTACTGACCTACAAAAAGTGTTGTGAATCTTCTTACTGTCTGCCTTCAAAGAGATATGGGAGGAGAAATGACGTAATGTCTACTTAGATCTTCAAGCTTCTCGGAAGAACAGTCTACAGTAATATGATTTCTTAATGCATTTGTTTGTGTTGTAATGGAGTATAATTGCATTTATCCCAATTTCTTTCTATACCTCTAAATATGACAGTCTTGCACAGGGGAAGCAGTCTAGCTTTGGGAGTAAGAACTGGGTCTAGACTAGAATCCTCAAAAAGTACAAGTGGACTAGCTATAAAGTTACGAGGTTGAGGGAAGGAAGGTGGGAGAGGAAGGAGTGGGAGCATATAATTATCTTCAGAGTGTTTATAACATTTTAAAATCCTATTATTTTACTAAAGCTCAACATATCAATATATTTTAAAATATACATATTTGTTTTAATTTACAATATTGCACACTGGGCAATTTATATGCAATATTGACCCTGCCATCATTCTCTATGTTGATAGGCTCTTTGAGCCTCCTCCAAGATTTACCCTATTATGTTCCTCGGGCCACAGTTTGGTTGTTGAATAACTAGTTTCTGAGTCTGATATGGTAGTTCTCTACAAACACCAACACGTTTGTAGATTCAGTTGTAAGAGGCCTAGTAAATTACTAAATAATCCTTTTTCTTTGTTCTGTAGAAAAGGGAATAACAAGTTTTTTTTTAATTGAAATAATCATGAGCAGTAGATTTTTTGAGTAGCTTTTCGAGCAGTATTACAATCGAGTTGGCTTTCTAGTAAGTCATGAAAAGAGAAATTAAAATGAAGGATGAAAAGCTGAGGAAGTATACATAAGTGTCATCCCTGACATTCCATAAATATGTTAATTTGGGTTATGCTTATCATTATTGGACAGTTTTGTTGTGGGATTTTCTGGTTGTGATTGGTTCTTTAGCACTTCTAATCCAGTGTTTTATAAGGAGGTCAGCCTTCTGTAAAGAATTTTAAGCAACTGTTGAGTTAACCAGTAAAGAAAACAGTGTGTATGTCTTCTCTTTCAGAGAGGTGACAATATACACTCTTTAATAGCAACTGATTTGTATTTTTGGAGCAATAATACTGATCATATTACTTTCTCTGGAGAGAAGAAAAGCATTACAACCACTTTTATTTGTTAAATTATAGAATATAATGCAGAGAGAGCATATCCTGTCACTCAAAATGTGGCATGAAAAAAATAAATTTCTACCAAATAGTGTTGCATACCAGGGACATATGAAAAAAATAATTTTTTCTCTCAAAGTGAGAAGAACATCTTGTGTAAAGAAATGATATAAAATACTCTGGAACTGTTCTTTAGACCAAAATAATCTTTTACGAAAAAGTGTTGACTTGGAGATATAGTTCATATCAAATTACTTTGTGGATGATCTTAATACAACCACGTTTTTGTTGTAGGAGGTCATTGAGAACATGTGACTACCAGTTGACCTGAGAGCTAGACTCGGGCAATTGGAGGTTCCTCTTCCCCTCCCCTGTCCTTGAAATGTACAATCTGCCCATCAATCCCACAGCAGGACCTATCTTTATGGACACAGCCTTGAGTGAACAATGTGTTGTTGAGACCATGTGTCATGGAAGCCAGTTAAGGCCTCTAGGTAAACTTTTAAGATTTTGGTGGGCAGGTGTGGAGACACACCTGTCTTGTGGCTGCCCAAGACAAGCCTTGTAAGTAGGTTCCCTTGCTTGTTGAACCTGCCACCCACCCATCTGGAGTGGGCTGCGTCTTCTTCAGTCTCCCCTTGTTCTGTGTGCATGGGGACCAGTTTCAGGTTTCACCCAGGAAAGTTCGCAAGGTTGTAAACCAATAATTTTCTGTTCTTGACAACTAACTAAAATCTGAATGAGCATTTCTGAATGTTAAACATATTGTACCATTTTAGGCCCTTACATAAAACCTCAAGATACATTTATGGATTTTTGCAATTGTGTCTGAATATAGCTAAGGCATACATACTTTTAAAAGTTGAAAAAATCCACTTTACGTTAATCTGTTGTTAAGTTGTGATGTTTTATTTGCATTTGTTTCAGAATCGAAGCAAACGCTTGGAGAAGGTCCATGTGGTTATTGGACATAAGTCCTGTGATTTGGATTCTCTCATTTCTGCCTTCACATATGCTTACTTTCTAGACAAGGTGAGTGGAAAGAAGATCATGTATTTTTTTAAGAAATTACTCATTTATTTATTTTTATTTTCGGCTGCGCTGCGTCTTCATTGCTGCTCTGGTCTCTAGTTGCAGCGAGCAGGGGCTTCTCTAGTTGCGGTGCGTGGGCTTCTTACCACGTGGTGGCGTCTCTAGTGGAGCACAGGCTCTCGGGTACTTGGGCTTCAGTAGCTGCAGCTCCTGGACTCGAGAGAACAGGCTTACTAGTTGTGGTGCACAAGCTTAGCTGCTCCATGGTATCTTCCCAGATCAGGGATCGAACCTCTGTCCCCTGCCCTGGTGGGTGGATTCTTTGCTACTGAGCCACCAGGGAACCCCGAGATTATGCTTTTTATATTTATGATGTAACTTTTATAAACCGATGTTTTCCAGAAAAACAAGGAAGCTACTAACTTAATTTTTCATGTTCTGGCTTATTGTTGCAAAGAATAAGGTATTATAACTCATTAATCAACAAATATCTATTGGTCACTTACTACATGTTAGGCATTGTTCTAATTATTTCTTACTGAGTCTCTGCATAAATATTTATTTCAATAGGATCGATTTTTTCAAATAAAAAATTTTAAAAATTTACAATTGTTGATTACTTTTGTGGAAATTCAGAGAACTGACAAAAGTAAGTGTCAGAATTTCTTGTTTGCCTTTATCATTCTTGTTAGATAATCTTGCCCTTGGGAGTAGAAAAATATGTGCAGAATAGTCTGTGATCATTACATGAAGAATAGTGCACACTGGCTGGAATTTTCAGTAATAGAGGTGTTACCTTCCACATCTATATTCTGTTTTTGCCTCTTAGCCTGACTTTGTACATCAATGTCATTCTCAGTTAACAATAATTTCCCTTGAGTCAGAGTCTTTGTACTCTGTGAAGCCATACTATAACATGCCAGTGGAGGTGGAAAAGACTTTTCTTTCAATAATTTGTTTAAAAATATCCATTCCACAAATTTATCAACCCATATTAAAGCATCACTTTAAAGCCTAAAAAAGTATATTATGAGTGTCTTGGTGCTATGTCTAATTTCACACAGTTTTTAGTTTTCTGGAGTACAATTTGTTTTACTCCAATTTTGTTTGAATCCTTGAATCTGACAGTGTGCATAACTGATCTACAGTGATTTACATTCACGTGAAACCCAGCCTTCCAGAATGAGCTGTAGGTGGCAAGAATGGTTTTAGGGTAGCAGCTCAGAAGTGCCAGGTAAAATATTCTGATGTCAACATATGACTTTCTATCAGATTTATCTTAAAATTTGCTAAATTTCACAAGGGAGATTAATTGGTATGAAGAGAGAAGTATGCCTGTGTCAAGACATGTATTTAAATACTAATCTTATTAATGGGATTTTTTTCTTATTTATTTTGTATTGATCTATAGTTAGTTTTCAGTATTGTGTTCATTTCAGAGTACAGCAAAGTGGTTCAGTTATTTTGCTGTACACTTGATTTTCAGATTGTTTTCCATTATGTCACAAGATATTAAGTATAATACCCTGTGCTATACAGTAGGTCCTTGTTGATTACCTATTATATATATATAGTAATGTGTATCTGTTAATCCCAAACTCCTAATTTATCTCCCCCACGTCCTGCCCACCCTTAAGTGGGTTTTTTGACTTCTAGGGAAAAAGCATTGCTTGTCTTGAGAACATTAGAGTTGCTTGAACTAGACTGGTTTTTAGACTGATCGTGGCATGGATTCTTTTTTTTCCTTAATGGGATCGGAGAGGTTGCCTTAAGTTGTGGAGTTGTTGCTCAAAATCTCACAACTTTGTCTAGAGGAAAGTTTCTTTCTCATTTTCCACGCCACGGTGAACCAGATACCCTTGTACGGTCATTAGAATGCGTGTGCATACACACACACCTACCCACTCGCTCCCCCTACATATAGAATCCTTCACAGGGACAGATCTTAAGTCTTCAAGGAAGTACAGTTTACACCTACTCAAAGGAGGAAAATTTTTTTCCTAAATTCATCCTTCTCTCTACGAAATGAACATGTCAGATTACCATGTCATGGACTCTTAGGAAGTCATACAATAATAATGACAGTACTGCCACTAACTTTGACATCTTGAATGAATATAATAACATCCAGCAAAAGGAGTGGGCAAGGTAGTTGTCATAGTAAAATAAAGAGATGTGCGGCCTCTCTTCTCCTTCTTGCAAGACTCACGACTAAGCATAGGGACAAATATGGAATTATTGAAGGGTCACATACTGGGAACTTGTTAAGTTCTGTGTCTTCCTCTTAGTTTGCTGCACCCTGCTCCCATCATGGGTCTGCATCTTCATTTTAATTTTTCCTGAGAATCTGGCTACTCCCTCTCAAAGTATGAACACATAGAAGGACAGGGTTTGCAGCTTCACATGTCTGACTCTGTTTAATTACTTTCCATCCTGGTATGTAAGCCCCATTCTATGGATGGGGAAAACTGAGGCTCAGAGAGGAAAATGGCTTTCTCAAAGTCAGACAGCAGAGTCAGGACCAGAACATAAGTTTTTCCGACCACCACTCCAGAATAGGTCCTGCCAGAATAGGCTCAGACTGCATGGCTCTTGACTTAAGTTTCAGTATCAGGAGTAAGGTATAACTCTAGCAAGTAATAAGGAAAAACATCTTGTTGTGTATAAACTGGTAATGATTATTACATGGTTGTGATTCTGTATTAGCCTAATAGGTGAGATAAAAACCATCTTGTTGGGATGGCTTTGTATACCATAATAGTAGGTGATTCATTTATTTCACTCGAAAAATATGTATTAAATATCTGTTTTAGACCATTTTATGCACTTAGAAACATGAACAAAACTGACAAAAATCCCTGCTAGGAAGGGGAGATGGATGATAAAGATGTTAAGACTGTGTAATAAACACTATGCTTGTGAAAGAGCTAGTGATGATGTGAGAACAAAGGCCATTTAGTTCACGCAAAAATCCAGTCTTTCCAAACCCCACATTCTCTCAGTGATATTTGAGTTTATTGCTATAGCGTTATAGTAATTTTTAAATTACTTCATTTTTAAAATTCTCATGGAAAAATGTTTATTATTGTGAATCTGAAATTCTCTAACATCTACCCATCTCCAGTTTTCCCCATCATTACAGTTTTTTTAAAAAGAGGTTTGTTAACATAATTTTTTTTTAAAGATATAAAACATTAACAGAAATCATAGTCTGGTAGTCTGTGAACCAAATCTGGAGTTTTCAGTAACCTACACAGTATTTTTAATTAAAAGGCTTATTGTGACATTGTAACAATTAAACATTACAGATAACACCCCCAAATCTAGATTTCTAGCTTCTCTTAAGTAAAGGATTTGCCTATCCTGGACTGGGAATTTTTTGCGTGGAATCAGTCTACTGGAGTTAAGTGGGAAGCATCCCATATAGATGTGACATCCGGGTCTTTCTGTGTCAGTGGGGTTTCTACCTGGAGCTCCTCTATTGGCTCAGCTGGTAAAGACACCTCCTGCTAAAGAAGAAGACACAAGAGACACCAATTTGATCCCTGGGTTAGGAAGCTCCCCTGAAGAAGGAAATGGCAACCCACTTTAGTATTCTTGCCTGGAAATTTCCATGGACAGGAGAGCCTGGCAGGCTATATAGTCCATAGGGTCACAAAGAGTCGAACATGATGGAGCGCACACACGCGCACAACACACCGTCTTCCCCTGCCCTGACGTCATCATTCTAATTTTTTGCTGATTCCATAAAGATGGGCAGATGTGTTTCCTATGAAGAGAATGTGTGTATTTTAAAATTGTGGAGAGAGTGAAATGAGACATAAAAAGTTTCAAGAAAGGCAAGAGAAGTTTCATGTGGAGTCACAAGAGATGAACAAAAATTAGGGACCACTTAATCCATGGGAAATGCTCTGCTCATTGGGTTTAGGAAAAACTGGTACTGAATGTGAAGTGGTTTAGCGAGACCAAAGGACCTTCATTCCCTTTGCAGTTACCCTCTGGCTTGAGAAAATGTAGTTGTGTTTTATCCTCCCGCTGCTGTCAGTGACTCGGTCAACTTTTTTCTTGGTAGGTCAGCCCTCCAGGGGTTCTCTGCTTGCCGGTGCTGAACATACCGAGGACTGAATTCAGTTACTTCACCGAAACAAGGTTTATTTTAGAAGAGCTAAATATCTCTGAGTCATTCCACATATTCCGAGATGAAATCAATCTGCATCAGCTAAATGATGAAGGGAAGTTATCTCTAACACTTGTTGGCAGCAACGTACTGGCAAGGTAAGGCTCTGGAGGGAGGTTTGATATTTTAAAAAAGATTTTTCTGGGCCAAGTATTACCTTGTTCAGGTTTTTTGTGGTTTGGGAAGATGTATTAAAGGCAGAGGACATTTCAAAGAAAGGGAATGTGTTTTTTTTCTTACAGCAAAATTTGGGCTATGCCAAGCCTCTGTTTTTACTTTGGCATTCCAGATATGACATCTTTGAGTGGAAAATACTTATAAAATAGGCCCAAATTTTAATTTTAAATCATAGCAAACACTTTCTATATAACAATGCAACTTTATACTGCTGCTGGAAATGTATAATGAAGATTGAAATTAACACTAAATAAAACTGAAAAATTCTTAAGAAAGAAATCTTGGTAGTGAAATGGAAAATTATGTACATGGGCTAGGAAAGCCATTCAGTCATTGGCTCCTTTAGTCATAGCATTTACTATAAAAGCAAGATGGATTCTGTAAAGTTCATGTAATTTGAACTCCTTATTTTATGGACAAGAAACCCAAAACCCATTCGCAAATGACTTGCCCAAAGTACAACATGCAGTTAATAGAAGGGTTTTGATGAGAACACAGATCTTCTGTTTCCTTCAGTAAGTACTTAGGAGTTGCTAACTGATGCATGAATCTACAGATATTATACATAAATAGGAATAAGACAAATTTCTTGCCTTCACAGTTCTTATAACCCATCACAAAGAGTTGCATTTGGTAAGTTCTCTGTTGCTAGTGAGTGAAGAGTCCCCAGTTAAACATCTCAGCCATCTGAGGTGATAGTTTTTTGCAAACTTTGCCCATTTTCTCATCATTGATATGGCATTCACCCATGGACATTTACCTTAGTATACATGAAATAAAATGTAAAAGTATCTGATTTTTTATCTACCTTTCTTAAGGAAGCATATTTAGGTATGAATACATTATATTGTCAGTTGTGAAGCTCATTCAGTTATAAAGAGTTTGGAAAATGATCTGCCTCTGTAGGGTTGTTTTTATCCCCATGATACTCAAAACACTCAAAATTCTTTTGAATAATACTTATTAATTAGTTGTTAACTGGCTGAGAGTTATTCATAGGTTATTTGACTGAATTCCATTATCATTGTTCAGGTTGATCATGTGCTTGACTAAATTTGTGTGTTAACTTTTTCAAACTAACTATAACACAAGGAGATATGGAAAGAAGCAATGCAAGATGCCGAAGAAGGGAACTATGAAATTTGTGTCAGTTAAGATTTTAGGAAGAGTTTTGTTACCAATTAAAATGGAAACATTTATTCTGATTTTGAGACTGAAGTTGTGGAGCCTTGCTTTGGGATTGTTTACAAAATAGAATGTTTTTCAAAAATAAACTGCAATTTTCATTTCCTTCATTGCCATTCTTTGAGTTTTGGCAGACAGAATCCAGTCAGTTTTATCCACCTCTTTCTTCCTGCCTTTGATAAAAGCCAACTATATCTCATATAAAAAGAATGATGCAGAAATAAATAAGCTAGAAGTATTTTTTTTCCAGCAACATAACTGAATGTGTAAGTTTTGGATCCAGATAGTTAAGAGTTTAAATATAAGTAGTCTACTTACTAGGGCTTCCCAGGTGGCTCAGTGGTAAAGAATCTACACGCCAAGCAGGAGATGTGGGTTTGATCCCTGGGTTGGGAAGGTCCCCTGGAGAAGGAAATGGCAACCCCCTCCAGTTCTTGCCTGAAAGATACCATGGACGGAAGAGCCTGGCTGGCTATAGGCCATAGGGTTGCAAAGCATCAGACATGACTTAGGGACTAAATAGCCATGGCAGCAGCAGCGGTCTTACTAGCTGTGTGGCCTTGGTCACTGTTATTTAATTTTATTTTTACACAATATTTAAAGGTTACACTCCATTTACAGTTTTTACAAAGTATTGGCCATATTCCCTGTGTTTGTAATGGTCACATTTCTTAACCTTTTCATGCTTTTTTTTTCCCACCTGTAAAAATAAGAATTTTAATAGAACCCATTGAGTAGAGTCAGTTTATATTATAAAATGTAATAATACTGAGAAAGTATTTATTACAGTGTCCAGCCTGTAGTGGAAAGTCAATAAATGTTAGCTATAGCAATGATTATTATTGTTGTTATTATTATTTTCCAACAGCCAAACAAGAGATGGAAGTGCCAAGGTGTGAAGGTCTTCAAAGACTCTTGGGGATGTAATTAATTAAAATGAAATGTGAAAACACATAAAGAATAAGTCATGTGAACTTATTTTTGGTTATTAAGAGGAAGTCAAAAAGAATGATGCAGAAATAAATAAGCTAGAAGTATTTTTTTTCCAGCAACATAACTGAATGTGTAAGTTTTGGATCCAGATAGTTAAGAGTTTAAATATAAGTAGTCTACTTACTAGGGCTTCCCAGGTGGCTCAGTGGTAAAGAATCTACACGCCAAGCAGGAGATGTGGGTTTGATCCCTGGGTTGGGAAGGTCCCCTGGAGAAGGAAATGGCAACCCCCTCCAGTTCTTGCCTGAAAGATACCATGGACGGAAGAGCCTGGCTGGCTATAGGCCATAGGGTTGCAAAGCATCAGACATGACTTAGGGACTAAATAGCAATGGCGGCAGCAGCAGTCTTACTAGCTGTGTGGCCTTGGTCACTGTTATTTAATTTTATTTTTACACAATATTTAAAGGTTACACTCCATTTACAGTTTTTACAAAGTATTGGCCATATTCCCTGTGTTTGTAATGGTCACATTTCTTAACCTTTTCATGCTTTTTTTTTCCCACCTGTAAAAATAAGAATTTTAATAGAACCCATTGAGTAGAGTCAGTTTATATTATAAAATGTAATAATACTGAGAAAGTATTTATTACAGTGTCCAGCCTGTAGTGGAAAGTCAATAAATGTTAGCTATAGCAATGATTATTATTGTTGTTATTATTATTTTCCAACAGCCAAACAAGAGATGGAAGTGCCAAGGTGTGAAGGTCTTCAAAGACTCTTGGGGATGTAATTAATTAAAATGAAATGTGAAAACACATAAAGAATAAGTCATGTGAACTTATTTTTGGTTATTAAGAGGAAGTCATTTGTGTGGAAACAAGAGATTAAATCATTCCAGAAAGTAAGAAAATATGCCCTCTTTCTTTTCCTCTCCTCCATTTGCTTTCCAGTGAGGACAAAACTTTAGAATCAGCAGTCGTCAAGGTTATTAATCCGGTGGAGCAGGGCGACGCCGGCTTTGAGTTCCGAGAGCCCTCGTCGTCTCTGGTGGCGAAAGAGATCCTCCAGGAGGCTCCCGAGGTCATCACCGAGCAGCTGGCTCATCTGCTCAGAGGTGAGAGATGCCTCTTCCCATTAAATACTGGAAGGCTTAATGGAGTGTCTCTAGACTCACTCATGCACAAAGACTGCGATCCATTCTTGGGTTAACAGTCCCCTTCAAGACCACGGGAAGCTTCAGCAGAGAGGCAGGGAGTAAAGAGTTTGTTAAAGAGTAGCATTATATTGAATATTAAAAATGTGCATTTAGAAATAGGCATGAAGGATCTTTGCTGTTTCACCAGACAGCAATATTAAACGTTCCCACTCCACAGCAGCATGGATATGGGCCAGAATTCCACGTTCCTCATTGAAATGTCTCCTGGTACTGATCCACGCTCGTTTATGTAACACTACTCGGATGGGACCGTCAGCTGCCTTCCTTTTGATGATACTGTGCAGGACTTATATGGTTAAACTGCCACCTCCTTCTCTCCCCATCACGTCATGTTTCCATCTTCACCCAGTTAGCTTTAAGTACTGTGTTCTCAGCGCGCTGTCATCAGTTACCCTCCTCATCTCTTTTTCATCTTCCTCAGCGGGGTCTATCACTTCTAAACGGTGGTTTCTAAGCTGGAAATTGTCCACTGACTTTGGTGCCACAAAATTACCACAAAAATTCCGTGTTGTCTCATGTAGGACAGTTTTGGGTTTTATAGAAAGCTGTTTTTCCTCCTTTCAACCGTCTATCTTGAACATGATAGACCAAGTTTTTCTCAGGAGTATTTGACACAAGGAAGTGAAAAGCAGTGATTAACAGGCTGGAAGAATTAAAAAAGGAAAGAGAAGTCCAAGAATATGGTGACTACTCCTTTAAGGCTTATTTTTTTTTTCCTTTTTCTTTTTCTTCCTCTGCCTCTACCAGAATTTGGAGGGAAAAGGGTCCAGGACTTCTATAGTTACTATAAATGTCTTAGAACCAATGGCTGCAGTCAACCTGTTTTAAATACTTTCTGGCTATGGACATCTGTAAAACTGCTCTCTGGAAAACTGTGCCTTCAACTAAACTAAGTAACCACAACCATTTATCTCTGACAGAACAGAAGGGAAATAAAGGCAATTGGGGATCTCGGCCAAAAGGGAAGTTGTTTGACAGTGCAAATATGTGGTGCAGGCAAACACTAGAGAATATGTTGTTTAATTATTTTGAAACTAAGAAGTTTGGTTTATTGTTCAAAAAGATACATGTGTCATTTAGTAGGAAAAATGTAGTCAATGAACAGTTCAGCATGATTTTCCCTAAGTAATAAGGTAATACCAAGCTGTAGTACTTGGAACGAAGATGTGATTTTGTTGCTGATGATGACAGTGACAACGGTGATAATAATGGTGATATTCAGATTTAGGGAATTAGAATACTGTGGCTCAGATAGTAAAGAATCTGCCTGCAATGCAGGAGACACAGGTTCGATCTTTGGGTCAGGACGAGCCCCTGGAGAAGGGAACAGCTACCCACTCTAGTATTCTTGCCTGGAGAATTCCACAGACAGAGGAGTGTGGCAGGCTACAGTCTGTGGGGTTGCCAAGAATTGGACGTGACATGTCCATTGGACATGAAGAACCAACCCTTTGATGGATATTACACTTTAGACCCTCTTGTTAGTTCCCTTAGTTTTAGTTTGCAGAGTTGCCAAGAATTAGAACTGTGGTAAAGGACCTTGGTTTTTTTTTTTTTTCCATCATCAGAGATTTTTCATAACTTTGGGTTTGAAGTGGCCTTGGGAAGCTGGCAGAATAAGACTGTCACTTCCTTGTTGCTTGGAAATTGGAATTTGGACAGACACAGTCCGTTTACCTATGAAGACTGCCCACACAGACACTGTCAGGAGAAAGCCAGGGTTGCTGAAGCCTGGCCGTAGAAGACATGGGTGGTTTAACGTAGTAGAAAGAGAGCTCTGGAGACCTTTGACCGAGGTGTGACACGTGCATATGCATGTGTACATTATGTGGAGGGGAGATGGAGCATTTTGGAACAGTTTGGCCAAGATGAACTGAAGAATGATGATCCCAGGAGTTTAACTTTAAAAAGGTAACTTAAGTGTTTGGAGCACGAAGGGCAATGGCCACTTTTTAAAAGCTCCTGACTTTAATAGGGAATCAAGTTGAATTTTGCTGTACTCGCTAAACTGAAAATTAGGTTTTATGGCTTTCTAATCATGTATTAACACCAAACCTAAAGGAGTGTTTTAAAGGGAAGTTTTTTTTATATGCCTATACATAATTTTAGGATTTATTATTTTCATAATGTCATTCTTTCTGAAGGGTTTTCTGTAGAAACAGCTATGATTTATTTTGCATTTTGGGGTGCTCAAAATGATCATTAATTTGACACACATTTCTAGACCATGTATTATGCATTCTTCTAGGTCTTGAAGGGATGCAAATTTCTACACATACCTTTGCCATAAAGAATTCTGAGAAGTGTCTGTTTCCAGATGACATGAAGTTAAATATTTAGTCAAGATTTGACTTGCTATACATTGAAGCAAATACATCGCTGGTTTGGAGACTTGCATGTCATCCATGCCTTCTTAGGGACAGCATGTTTGTATAATATTAGAGGTTCTTTTCTACTGTTTTCATGAGGAAAGTGCCAAATAACCAAAATACTTTTGTAAATTCTTAAAGTAATCATGAGGCCAAAAAAAAAAAAAATTTAGTCAAGATTTGAAATAGTCCTTGAAAGCATCATAATTGGACCTCTATGGAAGATATGTTATTATAAACTTTGTGCCAAAAAACCTGAATATACTCCAAACTAAGTACTTTGTCAGTCTAACTGTTCTTTGCCTTTCATTCCCATGGTCACACCCTAAAATCCATCATGCTGAGGCTGGTGTGCTGTAAATGGATTTCTTGAGCCAAGATATTGATCCCCTCAGTCCTTGGAGAGGACCGTTAGTATGCCTCTTAGCATGGTACAGTGAATAAAAATACCTGTAATTTTCAGTTTGTTCCTTAATGTGCAAAAAGGTTGGGCCTATTCTTTTTTAGTATTGCTTGTTGGTACCTTCTCTTCTGCTCAACTTCTAAATATTGCAGTACCCTAGAACTTTGTCCTGGGGGCATTTTTTATCTGTACAGTACTTAGATGGCCTCATGTAGTTCCAAAATCTTAAATGTAACACACAGGCTGTGACTCCTGTATCTCTACCCATAACCTCTCTTTAGAATTTGCCCATTTGACACCCTCACGTGCATGTCTAATTAGCACCACTACTTCGACAGGGCTGTCATGGAACCCTTTGGTTCCCTGTAGCTCCAAACCTACTTTTATCCCAGTTCACTAATAGTAGTGAAAGGTACTGACAGCCACCCAGTTGTTCAAGCCATTCAAGCTAAAAGTGATTCTTAATTCTTTTACCTTTCCTCCCTCATTGATGCATCGACATGTCCTGCTGACTCTACATCTAAAACCTAACCTGCATCCATCCACCTTTCTCATGATAACTACTAGTATTTCAATCCAAGTCACTCTCTTTGACTAATGCCATAGCTGCCTAACTGTTGCCCTATTTTCTTCATAAAATCTATTGCTTACAAAGTGATCATAAAAGTTTAAACCAGTCAAGTCAATCCCCTGCATAAAATCCATCATACTCAAAATCCAAGCATTACAATCCACAATCCACAACACAACCTTGCCTCTGCCAATTCCAACATCATCTCATGCTTTTTTCCCGTTTTCCCATTGTGTGTTCTAGGAATAGAGGCCTTTCATCCTTTCAAATATGCCACACTCTTCCACTCTTGAGGATTGACATAAACTATACCTTCCTTCTGAAATGCTTGTTTCTACCCGTCTACTTAGCTTTATCACTGTACCTTCTTCTCCCTCTTGGTCCTTTATTGCAGAATATAAGCTTCATGAGATAAGAGACCATACATGTTTTGTTCATTGCTCCACTGTAGAAGAAATGGAGTAGCCATCATAGTCAACAAAAGAGTCCAAAACGCAGTACTTGGATGCAGTCTCAAAAACGACAGAATGATCTCTGTTCATTTCCAGGGCAAACCATTCAATATCACGGTAATCCAAGTCTATGCCCTGACCAGTAAGGCTGAAGAAGCTGAAGTTGAATGGTTCTATGAAGACTTACAAGACCTTTTATAACTAACACCCAAAAAAGACATCCTTTTTATTATAGGGGACTGGAATGCAAAAGTAGGAAGTCAAGAAACACCTGGAGTAACAGGCAAATTTGGCCTTGGAGTACAGAATGAAGCAGGGCAAAGGCTAATAGAGTTTTG